CACTGCAACATCCATCGAACCTCTCCAGAACACCGTGACACACAACACGTCACAGATTCCAATCTGCATGATTTTCAGTACATACTTCTGAGATATACTCTCTTAATTCGTCCAATGTGTAAGGATTTCTCGTATAAATTTGTTCTTTACTACAACCCCCCCCAAAAAAAAGAAATCCCGTGGTGAACATTGTTGCCATTCAATGATGCTTCTTCTTCCGAAGCAACACTGTAGAAAAATTTGGTTAAGGTAGTCCATTACTGCCAAAGCATAATGAGCAAGAGCGCCATCGTGCTGAAATAACAGTTCGGTGAAGTCAGAATTAAAACGTGAAACAATTAGTGAAAAAACTGTAAGCCTAACTTTGGCCCATCCTGTATAATAATTCAATACGATTTGTGCGCAAGGTTTGTTTTTCAATTAATTAAGCTGAAAATATTTTTATTGCTATAAACGTTGTATTTAGTGGAAACACTTATTCCAGTAGATAACTTTGCTGTTTACTGAGTGTAAACATTTAATAAAGAAAATGTCCCTCTCGATCCGTACCTTATTTTTATTTTCTTTATTAACAAATTCCATCTCCAAAGCGGACGATATTGATTTAAGTGTTAATAAAAAAAAACGGTGATATCTGGTCAAACCTCTTTACTTACTGCATTGTACACAAACACATTTATCCACTAGAAATATCGTTTATACTAATGAGGAATAATGTCGAATAAATGAATAATAATTGCTTCAAAATTACTTTATTTGATTTTGCGGGAAGGGAATTATAGTTAGCAGAGATTAAAATCAAAATATCCCAACGAAAATTGTGCATCTTAAATACCTTAATTAAGCCTGCCTTTGTCAAGATGGCTACAGTTGGACTAATAGTAAAGCACACTTTGTTAAAAAGTGGTAACCCTGAAAGAAAAAACGGGATAGAGTTTCTTGTTTTATATATATATATATATATATATATATATATATATGTAAGACACATGTATATGTATATATATATACATACATGTATATATATATATATATATATATATATATATATATATAAAGACACATGTCGCTAAGAATAGTTTTTTTCTTTTCTTTCTATACATTTTGTTCCTTTACACATACACTCTAATTGAAAATAATTTACATTCACACACACACACATGCCCACACACACACATATATATATATATATATATATATATATATATATATATATATATATGAGTTGGGATCAAATACAGATAAAATATACGAATCGGAAATAGGCACAATTATAAGACAAAGAAGAAATAAGAAACGGTTATCAATCCATCCTGTTTCATTTTTATTAAATCTTCCTGATAGAATGAGATATGAACAGAATGAAGAAAGAAATTCTGCTATTTTTATTTTAGTGATGTCTGATTTTTAATGGTTAATCATGTTTCACATACATTTGATGTAAGCGTATATTAATTCTAGTCCATTTATGTGGAATTCAAATAATTTTGACTAGACATACACACACAAACTTACCAATATACATCATCATTTGAATCCCATATGGTCAAATTTTAATTATAATAGTTCATTGAAAGGGAAACATTTTAGATTGATACATTTTCCAAATTCGTTCTTTATCTCATCATATATCTGTGTGTGCGTGCGTGTGTATGTGTGTATGTGCGTGTATGTGTGTGTGTGTGTGTGTGAGTGTGTGTATGCAATGGTACCCACATATATTTTTAAACTGCCAAAATAGTGTCTATCGGCCTACTGATTGAAAGACTTAATAAAGTTAATGTAATAATCGACACATTTTAGATACAATATAAAAGTAGCAGATATAGACTTCAAATGTCCTAAAGCGAGAAGAGCATTTTAAAAACAGGGTAATTGAGACGTTTTCACTTTAAGTCGCCCTGTTGATTAACGGTGACATATAAATTCTTGCCTGGTAACATATTCTTTTTATTATGACTTTCCATATTTAGGTCATTATCTCTGGTTGCAGCTCCCACATTTTTACACAAATATTGTGCCGACGAATTGCCTATATTTTACTGATGTGCACATGCGCATTAAGACATTTAGAAAAAAAATTCCCCGAATCAAGAAAACGTGTAGCTTTAACATTTCAGAATTTCATTAAATTATCCGGTGACCAAAAGTTTATTTAAATTCAAATTTGTTTTTTGTTCATTTGCGAATTTTTCCATAGGTAATTTTCTTAAGTTAAACATTTTCCAAATAGAAAATGAAGCATCTATGTTATGCAATTTTAAAATAATTTCGGACACCCTGTATTTAGTGATTACACATATCTGAATATACACCACTGTTTTTTCTAGGTTTGAATTTAATGAAATGACATTTTTAAAGCCATACGTTTTCTTGATTCAAGGAATTTTTTTTTCGAAATATCTTAATGCGTATGTGAACATCAGTAAAATATAGGCATTTCGTCGGCACAATGTTTGTATAAAAATGTGGGAGCTACAACCAAGCTAATTTAACCACAGTTATGGAGGATGCTATTGAAAGAACGCTTCTGTGTGAAGTAAAAATTGGATGATATTTTTTTGCATAATTTTTTTCATAAGAAAGCTGAAAACTGGAGCAGGATTCGCAGTTCATGTTGATCATGGCGTTCCTGATGGTTTCCTTAAGAGCCTCCGTGGTGATATAGAGCCTGCTGTTCACCTCCATCTCCAAGACATCCCACAAAAAATAGTGGAAAGGATTGTATCTGTCTATATTTCTGAGATGAGGTATTGTAATTATTTACAGTACTTAAATTATTCGGACTGTTGTCCCCATCTTTGTTGCCATATTAACGACGTTTCGCCCGTTGTACAGCCCCGCCTTCTTCAGGTGACGGGCATTTTGTATTGAACCCTTTATTTTGTCCACCAGGGTAGATTATTCTAGTTACACGTGTCATGCCTGTTCCACATATCTATGTATGAGTTATCTCCCTTTTAACTTAAATCTCCAATTTTTTTATTCACCTTTGCTGTAGCCAGGTATTGAATTCACAAATCTTTGGATCAAGTTGTTGTATTCAACCAACGTTTTTATTCACAGGAACATGTATCCTTGAGAAAATTTTATTACTGTTTCCCATAATGTATTCATGTCTAGGCTTGGCATGCTTAAGAGATTTTTGTGTACAAGCATATGCTCTGATTCCTTAAGTTTTCGTATTTTCTAATGATGATCTCTTTCTATTATTTCATACACATCGCACAGAGGGCGGTGATCGCCCCCCTTCCCATATGACATATGGCCCAGTAGATAAAAGCGTTAGTTAAATCCCTTTCTCTCTTTCTCTTCCTTTCTCTCTCCCTCTTTCTTTCTTTGCTTTACTCTCTACATTACTCTCTCTTTCTGTTTCATTTACGGACTTTTCAACAAAATCTAAGTTCCTTTAGTCTGTAACAAATTCGCGTGGATATAATTAAGAAAAAAACAAACAGATTGTTCGATCACGAAACATCATTTAAACCATCATTAAAAATAACTGCCTTTATCTCAGATACCACACCCGATATTATTCTGCGTTTTTCTCTCTATGACTCTCTCAGGTTTCCTCATAGAGCGATCAATACAGCCTCCGTTTATTAAAATTAGCGTAACAAAACTATATATATATATATATATATATATATATATATATATATATATATATATATATAATCACTATATATATATAGGTACAAGCATATTAAATATTGGTCTCGAAATTAAGCCGACTGTATTTGCTTTTTTAGCAATAGCGAGCTAGTATGGTAGGTCTTTACTAATGAATAATGAGTACGATCCTCATTGGTGTACGCAAACTTGTGACATTGTGCCAAACTTAGATGAGCTAAATATCAACTGCACTGATGATCTTATCTGTTCCAAGCTGAACCATAGCAGCAGTTCTAATTCAGGCAAGTAATTACTGCGGTCGCTACTACAATCAATAGGATGAATGTCCGTTTATTCGCTAACAACAAATGCGCCTAGACAAAATTAAATGCTGTCCACTTCATCAATAGAACTAGACTGACCATTCTAAAAGTGTAGAACTGTTCACACAAGAGAAATAGCTTCTACAGCACTCACGGCCGCAGACAGCATGGATCTTTTATGAACTTATTCTCTTTAAGAGTCTCCATTTTAGTTATTTTTCTTCACATTACTTGCTTTTGTTTTTGTTTCTTTTTTTTCTTTTCTTTTGCCTAAAGCATCATTTATTTTACCTGTCATTGTTCTTTGAAATTAATTCTCGAGACGATGTTACGATTCATTACCGTTCGACAGTCTTGGCATTCGTAAAGAAATAAAAGTGTCGAGCCATTCGTTAATGAAAGACCGACATTTGCTTATTTCACAACAACATCCATATAAGGAAATCAATTTTCCTTTTCATAAAATAAAACATCTTACGGAGAATTCTGATCTCGCACTCACCTCTTCGGCTCCAAAATAAAAATAGGTAAGTACAATAAATTGATTATCGAAATTGTCAAAAGAAAGCCAGGAAAATGTTCACTCAAATTCCAAAAAAAGTAAATTGAAATTTGGAACAAAAGAATGAAATAAAACGTAATTATTGAAGACTAACATTTTTCTTTTCCTTTTGACGAAAAATAAAAGAAGATATGCAATAGGAAAATTGTCTAAGAATATTTTAATGAAAATTCGTGAAATGTCAAAAAGCATTGGTAAGAGAAGAGGTAAAGAAAATGGAAATTTGAAATATATTTATATTTCAAAAGAAATATATAAGAAAAACTAGACAATATACATACACTCATTTTTATTATGATTTCTCGACTAGACAAAGATTTCATTTTGATTTTCGTAGAAAGGAAATTTTATTATTCAAGTTAATTAAAGGCTTCACTGTCCTGATTCGTGGTATGAATACTTAATTTAACATTAGTTGTGAGTGAAATATCACTCTATCTCGTTCTCCCTCTCTCTCTCTCTCTTTCTCTTTCTTTATTTGTTGCCTAAAGCCAAATCACATTGAAACACCAATTCCCGTATGATCACCGAAGTTAAGCAACGTCGAGCCTGGTCAGTATCTCGATGGGTGACCCCTTGAGAATACCAGATGATGTCAGCTTTGATATACGGATGGTATAATGGATCGAAATTTTTAATCGGAGAGCTGACTTACCATCCATTTGGGTTCGTTATATTAATTTTCGCGCACATACCTTGGCAAAAGAAGAAACATCTTTTCCCCATCTATGGGTTAATAAGTAAAGCATGTATCGCTAAATCATTGTTAAACCCTCCCCACCAAAAATTCTTATAATCTAAAAAATATTTTCTGGCTTTAAATAACCTACAAAGGGTTGATATGCCGTCGAAAACGAATCAATCGCATCCAATCTCTATTTATATTGAGAAATGCAGAAAAAGAATTTGGTGTTAAAGCCAATTTGTCACTGAAAACCCTTGTATATATCGTATTTCTAACCGATATTAAGGGCCAAGATTCAGACTGATTTAAAATAGTCGCAGGACTATATTGATGGACATTTGAACTGATTCATTTATTTAGTCCACGGTGGGTAGAGTGTTCTAAATAAAGGTTTTTGATACGAAATTCCATCAAACATCATCTAAAGAAGGATGGAACGTACAACGGCCGAAATGTCTTGAATGAGGCAATAACGATGAGAAGAACAATTCGAACAATGTAGGTATTGTAAATAGTTACTATGCCTCATCTCAGAAGCAAATACAGCAATTTTAATATATTTTAATTATTGAGCTGAGAAAAATGGTTGTATAGAACTGGTGCTTCAGACATTTGTAAATGAGTTAGCGATTACCATGTCATCCATATGAGAGTCAAGATCTGATGAGGCTCGTGTTCTTAAGTTAATGCTTTGTTTTTAGCTTTTTGCTTTCATGGACCTTAGTGATGCTTATACGATGTTCATTTACACTTACCCCATAAAACAAATTCATTTATAACTGATCCATTATTTATTTGGTTGAGCGAGATCGCACATTTAGGAGTCTATCACGTCAACTATCACGGTTCTGACTCAATGTCGGAAGGTCATTGCAGTGGCATTCTGTGCCATAGCATATTTGGTCAAGTTTGGTGATTCATGGGCGACCATCCCGTCTTGCGCCACGGCTCGGTATCCAGAATAGTAAATCACTCGAAAGTTCTTTGCTTTTCTCGCCCGCAATGTCCTAATATTGTGCATTCTGTGTAAAATTGTAAAATTATCAGCGATGGGTCCAGAGAGCTGTCATTTAGTTGAATGCTTTCTGCAACAGACGTTAAGTATAGGCCTCAGTATATAAGTTCCATGAAGATTAAACTAAAGTTTTTTTTAATTAATGTGCAAGGTATTAAAGCCAACTCTACAGTGAAGCAAAATAATATCCGCTTGTGGTTGTCACACCGAGATAATTGTAGTGTTAAATGTTTTCTTATTGTTATTTCTATGTGCTGTATCCCCTCAAGACGTAGGCGATTATGGCTCTCTACAACTTCCTGTCCTTGCAGTTATTAAAAAACTTTGTCTTTGTTATTTCTCCTAAGTTTCCGCTATTAATTTACTTAAGCTCATTATGAATGTTATGCGCTGCTTACCTCTGAACGTCTTGGCCTTTTTTTGTCCCGTGAGCATCAGATTTGCCAAGCCTACCTATCTCATTGTGGCCCTGAAACTTTCTGGTGTTAAGTATAAGATTCCTTTTTGTTTTAATTTTCTCCAACACTTAGTCGTTGCTCACATGCTCGGTCCAGGATATCCTGAACATCTTTCTGTAGAACAACATGTCTGTTGCTTCAAGTCTCCTTTTCGTTTTTGAGATCTTCGAACAATCTGTGCTATCCTGGAGGACAGATATCACATGGCTGCTTAGTAATATCTTCCTTATATTCTGCTTAGTTTTTGAATGCTTCTTAGCTATTCCAATATGCCTTCGGAATTTTAAAACTTTTTTTCCATCATTAATTTCATTCCAATTCCCGAGCATTATTTTATTTGTACGGACTTAAACTAAATCCTACTTATAGGAAAACTTTGTAATCATGTTTCGCTTCTGAAGTTTTCATTACCAAATGTCTGTATCAAGCCAATTTTCCTTTTATATAGAAGTCAGTGTTTCTAAAGTTCATACAAGTAAATTTAAATTATTCCCTGTGTGACTGACATGCTCGCGATATTTTGAAGAAGTATGGAAATAAACATTGAAGCGACAATTAAAAAAAAATACTAAAGCCGGTGAGAAAGCCTTCAATTTCAAAGCGCGACTTGGTTGCGTTGATTGACGAAGTATATTTAATCAGATTCGTTGCGCTAGAAAGAATGACTCATTAATGACTAGGTTTGGACATTTTATTGATCCCTTTTTTTCGGCGGGGGTTATTTTTAGCGGGGGTGACTTACAAAGAAATCCGCAAATAATCAGACAGATATATTCAATGTTATCAGGTCGGTCATCAATCAATTATCTTGAATGACTGAAAACAAAAAAATCATTCATTTCACATTACTATATATTTCCCTTTCATAAAATGTCTTAATACCATAACATTTTGAAGTATATTTTACGTATATAATAAACAGAGTGAGTGAGATAGATAGATAGATAGAGATAGATAGATAGATAGATAGATAGATAGATAGATGTAATGAACAGACTGAGATAGCGATATGGCGATATGGCCAAAATAGGATAGATAGATAGATAAAAGCACATATCAAGTAGTTATACGTACAAACATATACGTTCTCTAGATGCATATGTATATATATACAAACACTGAAACATACGTATATATATATATATATATATATATATATATATATATATATCAGTGTGTGTGTATGTATGTGTTCGTGCAGCATATTTTTAATACGTATGTTGATTTTACTACTACGATGCTAACAAAAAGTATTACGTAAATTTGGCTGAGTATTGTTCGATATAACAGCATGTAAAGCACATTCATGCCCACACTTACAGTCAATGCAGATATTAGTCTAAAATACATCTATATTACATAAAAAAATAATAAGTAAAAAGTAAAAATATTAGAAGCCATTTATGCAAGAGAATTAAAGCCCAAAATGAATGTAGTCAACCATGAGTATAGCAACAAAGTTATTTTGTTTGTAGCTGCCAAAATAATTAATCCGTGAACGTGAAAGGATCAAAACCAAAAGATATCGATATGATATAACTAAATTATTTAAACAAACCTGTTGGAATATATATATATATATATATATATATATATATATATATATCGACATCAGGTAATTTTACAGCGTCGTGATATAGCTTGCCCAGACTTTATGAATTTAAGCACATTAACACATTGGGGGTAAGGTCTCATTAAGTAGATGTAACAGTAATTACTATGCTGTCTGTTTGTTTTCATGCATTCCTCGCTTGTCGAACTCGCTGTCGTCTTTCTGCGTGTACACCATCTATGTTGTTCAGACATTTAAATTTAGTGTCAATCGTGATTTTCTGTCTTTTATAGTCATCGGTCGTTAATAATGTTTTACTAATATTCTTTCAGGCCCTGAAGCCACTTGGAATTACCGATTCGGTTTACCAAGTTTTGCGTAACAACTATATATATATATATATATATATATATATATATATATATATGATGTATTGTGAGTATTTTTTAACATTAGCAAAATCACCATCAGGGCGTTTCTTAAGATTTTTTCTTAGAAAAAAGCAATACCCTGATGATGACGTGCTAATGTCGAAAGTACTCGTAATAAATGAATATGCATCAATACGTTAATATTCCCACTTCCTTTAATAAGAATACTAATAAGCTTGTCCGTGAATATAAGAGGATCCTATTGGAGATAAGTAGATAAACCTGTTTTAATTATTCCATGAGACATGTGTCAATTAAAGCATGTTGACAAATATATATATATATATATAGTCATTATAAAAGTATAACAAAGCTTTGCTTCAAAAGGTTCCTTTCAATTTTTGCATTAACTTTTATCATATGAGAGTGCATTATGCAATACCTTTTTGTTTTTGCATCAGCCATTATTGTACGGACATTATTTGTGGTCTAATAATTTTTGTCTTCGACAAATTAGCAGCTATTGTTATTGCATTTGTATAGTGAATTAAGCTAAGAATATAGACAAAACATCTCGACCGTCACCTACATGATGGGTGAAAATTATGGTTCTAATCGATGAAGGCTATTCTGAACCAGAAATTGGTGTAAAGTAGGTTGCAAAACAGGTGTCAACACAACTACACTGAATTTCCAAAAATCTGGGACACTTTTTGATTTGGGAAGATGTGCAGAGTCCAAGTGAAACCATTATTAGAGATAACCGTTTGACAAAGCGACATGATAAACGATATCCTACAAATTCTTGCAAGAATATACGTATTGTGCTGCTTCGAAATGGCACAGACGTCAGTTCTATCACAGTTCCACGTCATCTGAGATTTCAATCTGATCTTTCAAGCTGGCTACTAAATCACGGCTAACTGCAGCTATGAAAAACAAGAATCGGGCATTTCCCAAGCAATCTGAAACCTGGACACCGGAAGAATGGAACAGTTATATTTTCTGATAAATCTACTGTGTAAAAATTAGTTATGTGTAAAAGAAACATTGGAAAATCGTCTAGTAAAAGGTTTGATGAAAAGTATTCAATTCAGTCTATAAAGCACCACATCCGATGATTTAGGGCGCCATCCCAAAAACTCAAACATCTGAATTCTACTTTTTGGCTCGAGTAACAATAATGAATGTTTCATGGCTTTGAGAATGTACTGCAGGAGAACATAGAAATACATTCGTGCGTTTATTTTTTTTCTCAAATATTTTCACGTATTTTCTAGGATCCAGATATTATGTAAGATTAAAACAATTATCAACTTTTATTATGAATAACCAATAACGCTTCCAATTCGGAATGTTTTACTAATAGAGACTTTGAAGAAATCTATGTGGATGACACAGACATTTAATCCTGTCACGGTAGAAATCCGACAGATCTGACAAAGTAAACCTGACAACTGTTCTTGAAAACTATCAATTAGTGGTTAACTAGGTCAAGAAATGGCGGGAAAAATTTAA